AATAGAATAGAATAGAATAGAATAGAATAGAATAGAATAGAATAGAATAGCAATAGAATACAATAGAATACAATAGAATAGAATAGGAATAGGAATGGAATAGAATAGAATAGATGTGAACTTTCAAAACTGGAGAAGGAAAATAAAAAGTCCTACATTGACCTCGTTTTGTATATTTGTATGTACTTTCAAGAAAACCAGTTTGAATTGCATTGGTGCATGGTTTGGTACAATGAATTGCTACAAGCTCGACACACTGGTTACATGACCATGTTAAGATCTTATCGTTGCCAAAATAAAATAAAAGCTGTACCTGTTGTTCAAGCTCCATGCATTTTGGTACGTGGTTGAACAGATAGCAGTATGACTCCATCAGTACGTGACAATTTCTAAAATTACACAATTACAATTTCTCATCATTCATCTAAATAGCTTTGCTTCGCTATTTCCCCAAGTAGGGTCACAAGGAAACCGCCAGATTGTTTACTGAGTTGAAAGACTTTGTATGTATATTTATTGAATGGAAATATATTTTCTTGGACATCGCTGTCAACTAAAGTCAATAATTTATTGGCCACAAGATTTTGAATTCATTTGACTTAAATGATTATGTCAATATTTTAGATTATGTTGCAAAGTACCATCAAAACTGTTGTATGTATTATTCCCTTGAAGAAAACTAAAATGTACCTTAAAACATTCCACTAAATATTATAATTACCTTATTTGTATGTGCTTACATAAATTACTAAAATGAGTAAATAAGTAATAACCTTGACGATTCAGTATACAACAAATTAAATTTGGGTTTATGCGCTTCGGCTGGAGATTGTTTCCCAATAAGCAAATGTGGTATTTCGACTTTTTTGTGGATTCAGAATCAGGGCTTCAGCAGTTCTTTTATATTTGTATCTATTGTCTCTGTTTCTGTTTTCTACTATTTTCATCTCAAGTGGGTTTTTTTCTTCTGCACTCCTTGTTTCGTAAGTTATCCATTGAATGTTGAAATCTCTGTTAAATGTTTTTTAAAGCTTCGGTTACATTTGACTTGGGTGGTAGTTGGTGATATAGAAACAGTAATCTGGCTCTTGTTCATTTCTCCCATTTATAAGATATAATAGTGAAAAGTCATTATTTGGCTCTGTTACGTAAAGTCAACAATGTTTTGGAGGTGGAAATGCTTTTTTGAATTGTTTCGGTAAGATCTGACACTCACAGTTGATGTGTTGAAAAAAAAACATCAAGAAAATCAAACTGTTTTCTTTTACTTTTTTTTAGCCAGAGGCTAGACTTTCAACAAACAAATTCCAACTCAGGTGAGGAGGGGTCTAGAAAGTCTCGAAAGAGGATTTGTAAAGATTGAAATATCCAGTGTTTGCCTTACTGTAAAGTTTGTCTTATGCCATTCATACCCAGCGGGGCTGCTATGCCATGCTTTCGTGATGGCGTCAAAAGGCCGGATGGCTTTACTGTGCAAAGTTTCATTTCATACTGTTTAAATGGTTGGAATTTCACACTATTTCACCTATATTGTTCAGCGTAATTCAGTAGGTATGCCTCACATCCCAGCAATCCTATCCAATCACCAAATCACTCTTGAACACTCAGAAGTGGCAGAGCAGAAAGAAGTAGAAACCAGTGTTCTCTTCTCCCTGTTGCCACTCTTAAACTAATTTTACTACTTCTTGTTCAACAAAAGCCCCTTTTCTTATCTATTACAGTTAGTACTGTTATGACCAGCAGTTTTGTTCAATTTTTCCTGCTGTTTTTTTAAAAAAAAAAAATTATAAACTTGCTTTTTATATTAAAGATCTGCAAAACTGGCTGCTAATTAAATATGGTTTAAGTTCGATATTATCGAGCTGTGAGGGAAGAGGGGAATTGTTTTGTTTTTTGAACAATCGTGGGAGTTCATTTCATGAGTTTGTGATTCTCATTAAAGTTAATCAACTTCCATTGTATGTAGTTGAAGTAACTTTTTACAAATATCTGTAAAATTCTCCAATATAAGCTATGATTTGATTGTTCATATTGTTTTCTCTTAGCTTCCCATGAAGCCTTTGAAAGTAGTTCCGGGCAGAGTGTAATAACGAACGTTACTGGAATCCAATTGATCTCTTCAAGCGCCTAACGGCAGCCTGTTAGGTCTTGTCAAAAGCAATGAAATTAAGAACCCTGTATGGTTTTCCCCCCTCAAGAAAGTGAGACGTTTTCTGACAAAAGATGTTTACAGTAGACATAGACTTGAAACAAAACTTTTGTAAATTGTGTATATGTATCATGAGTTTGTTTCCTGCCGCATTTAACTACTTTGTAACCCTTTGATTGCCATCATTTTTCCTGCCACGGTTTGCACCACATTTTGCAATTTTTTTTATACTTTTGTGAAATTTCTTTATTAATTTTAGATCAAATATACATATTTTTACATCGTCTACAGGTCCTTGTCAATATTTCTGAAAAAAAATTAGAAACATTTAAGTGTGTTTAAATTTATGAATAATAACAAAAACGACTTTTGCGTTCAAAAGGTCAACACTCGGAGTCGGCTTTGATTATTATTTTAGAAGTCTGCCAGTCATAAATGTTTTGGAGTGAAGGTTGCACTCTTGCAGGGTAACAAAAATATTGTGGAACCCCTTTCAACACAACCTCATTTGGCTGTATTTAGCTTCTGGTCATTAATAACCATGTGATAACTATGTTGACTGTAAACGGCACCATGTTTTCACTATCATGCAATCCAAATATTCAAAGCCTATACCCAAAACTGATATCTTAGTTTTCAAAACACTGTTTTTATTTGACCCATTCTTCTGCAATGTATGTTTACAGTAGTGTTGAATTTCTAAGAGTTGATATTTGTTGCTGTTCGTAAGGTGTTGTATTTTATGTTGGGTCTCAGGGTTCTTAGATTGTTGTTCTGAATAGCTGCATAGTGGGGGTCCATGTTGAATGATTGCAGTCAGATTTTGCTCCTGTGTAACTTTCTAATAGGTGGTACAATGTAGTTGTTTGCCCGAACTGAACAAAGTCTAATGTATTTCACTGACTTGCATTTAGGACGCACACTGCTATAACTATTGAAAATGAAGAAAACAAGCAGTTAACTTTAAATATAATTCTTTATATATTGCTACATAAAAACAGGAAGTTCATAATTCAACTATAGTTTGTGCACCAGAATACCTTTCTTCAAACTTTCAGAAAGTCTGTCACAGAGAATAACTTTTAGGATATTCAAGGGGTATGAAATGTGTTAGCTGCGTCAATCCTTAATTTTCTTATTTGCCATGTTTCCTTCCTCAATTAACAATTTGAGATCTCTGAAACAAAATGTGGTGACCCTCAACTTTGTTTACCACAAAATCCTTTAATTGGTCCGGACTTGGAAATAACATTTCTAGTACAAAATAGTGAAAACTTGATTGAAATATGGGTATATTTAGTAAATATTAGGATGAAAATTACTTTAATTGTGTAGTACATTCTGATGTTGACTGGAATTATGACAGGGTAGGTAGTTGGAAACCAATGAGTTTATGCAGCCGTATTATAAATTGTCATTATCTTAAGGGGACCAGTGAGATCAAGCAATTAATTTGCCCAGTTTTAGTTGTACCATCATTATTTGTGATAAAACTGGGTTGGTCACCCTAGTGGCTGTTTGAGCAGAGTGGTATGATTCGTGTTGAATGAATAAATGCATGTAGAACCATTTAAAAAACAAGGCAACACCCATGTTAAACTGTTCCTGTTGTCACTAAGTGTATAGAAAGCGTAATTAGATATGACTAGATTCTTTCACTAAAACCATTAACTTCTCCTTAAATAAAAGAAGTATGAGTAAAAGAATAGATTTGTGTTACCATGGTTATGTCAATATTTAATCTGTAAATACGTGTACATCCATTAGTTTGTAACCGACACTGTCAGATGTGTGTGTGACCATGTTGCCACATTCACTCACCGATCAATGACTCTATAAAGTAATAAAAAAAAAAATGACGTCAGGTGAAGTGGAAAAAAAACCCTACCTTATCAGGAACATCATTCATCAATGATTAGTTTTGACATATCACATTGTTCTACAAAATCTTCTCTTTCTTTTCTTTTCCAAGACTTTGATGGTGACAGAGTACTTAATCTGTTTCAAAGATGTACCTTGAGTCTAATTTTCATTATTTCATCATTTCAGACAAGCCTGTGCTTGGATTAGGGAGGCAGACGACAATAAAAAGACCTTGGTTCTATTGATGTTTTGTCTTCTCCATTTTCAGATTTCAGTCAGTGTTGAAAATTTAATAGTAACGTTTAAATTTTTGATATTTTGTTGAGTGAAGGAGTCCATCAAATTAATGACAAAAAGCTAATAAAAATCATGGGTATCTATACTTGGTTTCATGGACACTGTGACTTTCCGATTTGCGTTTTCCCCTTAGCATCAAACCCTTCGAAAACTAGCCAGATGCATGAAATTTAGGCTGACACAAAAAAAATGTTTTTGTTTCCTCAAGTTTTAGTGGCCAATCACAAAGAATAATTTATCAAAGTTGCAGGAAAATCTTGTTTAAAAAGTGTGATTAAGTTGCCTTCCTTTGGCAGTTGTCAGTATTTAGGTTAAATTTTTCTGATTATTTTACTCTGCAACTTGTTATGTTTAATAGTGAACTTATTGAGAGGTGGTAAATAGCGCCCTCACATGCCCTTCTTTCAAATTTATTTATTTTTACACTGAGGGTGCATCTTATTCAAATTTATAAATGTATTGCCTAATTTATTTTCCAGAACCATCATTTTATTTTGGTGATACCGAATATGAAGTTGATGAAAGTGAAAGCTATGTAGAAGTGAAAGTATGGCGTACTGGTACCGATTTATCCAAGATGGCCAGTGTCACAGTCAGATCCAGAAAATCAGATCCAGAATCTGCCATCGGTGAGTGACATCTCTTTATTAATATATTATATACATTTTTTATAGTACTGTTCGGGAATGAGTAACTGGGATGCGTCAGTTTGCAGGGCAGGAACTCTGCTGGGAGCTTAGGCCAAGGAAACATCTGGACTAGATTCGGATGAGAAAAAATGCAGCAAAACGAATCAGAGAAAACTTTGTATGAAAAGAACACCGGATGCCTACACGCCTTTAACACCAGACTGAGGCGTGAACAGTGACAATACCCTGAAATTCATCAGTCTGAAAATACCAGCCATTTGATGTGCATTTTTTATGGAACTATATGCTTTACTAAACACAATATATACGTACATAATCTTTACTAACATATCACTATTTTTATCACTTCATGCTTTTCATAGTGGATTTGAATCAAGAGGTACTATATGCACTTACTTTATTCTTCATCTAAATGAAGTTTTCTTGAAATCATACAGTGTATTATGATTCGAACATAGCTTTACATTATCAAACAAATATATATATATGTATTCACAGTAAAAAATTATTGTTAAATATCTTTGCAAGACTCAAAAATTCATAGTGGATTTGAGTCCCGGGGAGCTACTCCCTGCAATTTACCTTACACAGATGTGCCACCCTTTGGGGTGTGTTTTTTCAGCCATCTGGTCTTAAATGGAATCCACAAAATTTAGGGATTTGGTCTAAAATGGGGTCCATAATGACTGATTGTCAAGTGGACATGGGTCTAAAAAAGGGTTTATTTTTTCAAACACTATTTTAACTTTTTTTATGCATTTCCAGATTTTCCAAATGTTTTTGATAAACATATTATCCATGTATAAAGGCGCATAAATGTCTGCATCAGTATTAGCCATGATCACCAAATGTCAAAATGTTTTAGTCAACTGGGGACTTCCCTGTATTCATCTATCTATAGTTTTGATGGTATGCACCCAGAATGCATCATATTTGTAAGGTTCAGTACAAAGTATATGTATTTATTAAGATAATTTCGGTCTACTTTTAATATGCCAAGACCAAAATGGGGTCTGCTGGACAAATGGCGGGTCTAAAATGGGGTCTACCAGACAACATTTTGGTCTAAGATGAGTTATACATTTTTGGTCCAATTTGGTCTAAAATGGGCTCTGGGTTTTGCAGTGTGGGCTACATACCATACCATATCAGCAGCCAAGTAGTTTGCATCATCTATGAGAAAATATACTTAAAATGACAAAATATAAAATGACATCGCTAAGTACATACAGCTATTAAAAAGTCGTCTATTTTCAAACTGTTAGGATATTTACATTTCATTAATATTCTGCCATTCACTCCCATATGATGTACATGTATATCAGTTTAAAGTCTTGTTTCTATTCCATAGCTGGTCAAGATTACAGCGCTATCAGTAAAAACCTGGATTTTGCTCCTGGAGTAACGATGCAAACGGTGAGGATAACGATTCTAGATGATCTAGGACAGCCAGTGTTGGAAGGACCTGAAACGTTTCAGTTGGTTCTAAGAATGCCAATGGGAGCTGTGTTAGGTGATCCAAGCACTGCTGTGGTCACCATCAATGACTCCATATCAGATTGTAAGTACAACAAGGAGTTATGGGTATTCAACTTTCATAACGGTGATGAAGATCTCATGAGAAGTCAACTCTCACGCTTTGTGTGCATTTAAAAACAAAATCCCATTCTACAGAATTCAAACTTATTTTTGTCCAATGGCATCACAGTATGCAGTGAATGCTTGAATAAGATTTAATTATGTCAACTGTTATGAGTGAGGTTATCAGCGTATTTAACGCATGTATTTGCGAATAAGCAAAGACACTATCAAAAACAAAATGTGAGATGAACACTAACCAGTTCTTTGACGGATGATATGTATGATATGTATCTAGATTTGTAAATTTGTCTTGCTTGCAATTTTCTGATTATCTGACAATTCGTGTGAGATCTTACCTAAATCCTAAATACATATATGCAACATTATGTGATGTCTCCAGATGGTTGTTTGTACCATTCTTCAGCCAAGGGAACTGACAATTGAGGAATGGTACAAAAAAAGCTTTTGCTGACTGACAAATGAAATAGAACTTACGAGAAAATTAGAAATAAAAATTAAGGCCCCTGAAGTACTGAAAGTAGTTGTTCTTAGGTTTGTAATCGGTTATTTTTGTGTGTGTGTGTGTGCAAACAGTACCCAAGATGGAGTTCCGTGATCCAACCTACATGGGTTTTGAAAACGATGGCAGAATAACCACTTACGTTATACGTACTGGCGATATCAGTCATACTTCCACTGTCAGATGTTATACTCGACAAGGCACAGCGCAAGTCATGATGGATTATGATGAACGACCCAACACTGATGCATCCATTATAACCTTTCTACCAGGTCAGTAGGTGAACCATAGCCATTTCATATCTATCAATCACTCAGTCTATACATCTTGCATATATCTTGTTTAGGTTACATCACCCCTTGCATCATGCATTATGTGGGCAGTGCCCTCTTGAAATAATATTTTTATATATTGTAGCGCCCTCTAGTGTTACATGTTACAAGAGAGCGCCCCCTATTGGCAAACATTGCAATTTTTATTTTTATTTGATGTTCTTTCTTCTGGCGTTACCAGGTGAACAGGAAAAGCCATGTGTTGTTGAGTTGATGGACGATGATCTTTATGAAGAAGATGAACAGTTCAGACTTGTGTTGGGATCTCCTGGAAGTGATTCAGCATTAGCTGCAATGGTTGGCAACCAGAATGAAACCACGGTAACAATCAAAGATGATGGAGATAGTGAGTATTTCCAAATGTCCCACCATATATTTAATCATTGAAATAAGAATATCTTTCAAATCACTTGTGATTGGTTCAGTTTGAGGGCTTTCTGTTCAGTAAACCAATCAGAACAATTCTTGCAATGAACCAACAATATTCTGTCTTTCTTTTTTTCAGAGCCTATTATTAAGTTTCCTGAGACCAGATTTAGCATTAATGAACCCAAGAATATAGACGATGTAGCCATAGTACGTATTCCAGTCATTAGAATGGGAGACTTGTCGGAGACATCTATTGTCAGAGTTCACACTAAAGACGGCTCTGCCAAGAGTGGAGTGGATTATAATCCATTGTCAAGGGGTAAGTCTTGAACATGCACGAGGTTGGCTGATTTGGTTTAAAACTTACAAGAGAAATAATAAATAATTCATATCTTCATTTCAGCAAGAAAACATTGTGTGGTGCAGCGACATTGCACTTGGGAGACTCACAAAACACTAATGTTTACATTGGAAAATTGATGTCAGTATGGTTATTATTGAGTTTTTGTGATGATTAAAGTACTTATTAAGACCGTGAGGTGTTTCTGGTTTTTGAGTCAAGATATATTTGAATGAACTGACATACTCCACATGCAGGATGTGTATGAAGACCAATCAGAGAAGAATGGAACAATTGAAGATGAGCACATGTTTGTTCTGATGAAAATTTGTGTGTACACTAGAAATAATTATGACTAAGATTTTAACTTTTAACCCTCCACAGATCTCGAATTTGGTTTCAATGTCTCTAAGCACATTGTAGAAATAGAAGTTCTATATGACGGTGAGAAAGAATCGCGAGAATCGTTCACCGTGCTGCTGAGAATGGATATGAATATGGTAGCTGATGTGCAGGTAAGGCAGTACACAATTAAAGTATGATAAAGGTTGTACATGCCTTGCATATGTCGTAGCGTGGGAATCATATCGAACACGATGTGTAGCGACTACCACCGCCATTTTGATAGATTATGTAATCCAAGTAAAATTGGAACAAAACTCTAAATATAATTGTTTCATTTCCACAGATGAATAAGGCTATTGTATATATTGAAGAAATGAATGAAATGGCAAGTGTGACATTCCCAACTAATCCAATAGTGACGTCACTTGCAAACTATGATACCACTGAAAATCTCCTTACTGATGGACCAAGAGCAGGCTATCCATTGGTTTGTGTCTCGGTGAGTGTTATTTTCAATCCAATCTTACTAAATATAGATCTGACAGAATTATGGATCGTGTCCGGTAAACCAGCCTTTTTGGTTAATCACGACCTAATTCTTCCAGAAAAAGTGGTACTTTTGTACCAAAAAAGTGTGATATTTGTGTTGAGTGGACTTGGTGTATATACCAGAAAGCTATTAAATTGTCAGGTGGTGTGTGGCTTTCAGTCAGGTGTTGCAGCTGGCAGTAATAGATGAGTTTAACCTTCGCAATTCTCTTTTTGAGGATGTTTCTATAGGAGGAACTCTACCATAAAAAATCTTCACTTCCTATTTCATCAATGTCAAAGATTATTATTATTTTTTGTGTAATATTAACCATGAGTTCTTGTTCTTTTTTGCCACGAATGCATTTTCGTGTTGACATTAACTGAAAGGGCAGGGTTTTTGTAGTTTCACTGTATTTTCTCTGTTGCAGCCATGTAATCCAAAATACAGTAATTATGCACAGACTGGCTCTTTATGTACTTCCCAAGGCATTAATGATACATTGACTGAGTTCCGTTGGCGAGTGGCTGCACCAAGCTCAGCTGAAGGTGTCTCCAATTCATTTAAAGAAGTAGATAGTGATACTTTTTTCTCTAGTACCAAAGGAGTAAGT